AACAAGATCTAAATGTTGCTTGGTTTTGGGCTGAAATTCTCACTATTCCTAGCCAGTGAAAGTATGAGGAAGTTGTTTCCCAAGCTCCTATGGTCTAACACCAACTGAGCCCCTGATGCTTCCCATTGTGATGCCCCTCAAATCATAAAACAAACAGAATAAACCCTTGTTTCCATAGGTATTTAGTCAAAACTACAAGAAAATGGATATAGGGTGTGATTGAAGAACCTGAAATCCAACCTCCCCAGTGTATGGGGAAAAAGACCATGCGTACTGCCTGCCTATGCAGGAGACACTCGAGGAAACAGAACGTGAATCACCTAACTTTCATCGCTCCAGTGATTCCCATTCTTTTTTTCCTGCCCCAACACATAAATATTTCGGGGCCTTTCTCCCTAGAATGGCTTTCAAGGCCATGTTTCAGAATTCACAAAAGAGACACTATCAGCAGGGTACCCACAGAAGTCACAAAAGATACATGGTTAAGAAGTGACCCAAAATAGAAGTTGTATTCTGCTCTCTGGAATTGCTTTAGCCCTTTCAAGTCACAAGTGAAACATTTAACTCACACTGATTACATTAGAACATCTAGATAGACAGACAGACAAAAAAGGAAAAGAGAGGGACTGGGAAAGGCAGATACTCGATGGATGCGGATATTGACCCATTATACTCTATAAGTCTGTAGGTAAATGTATTGATCCAGATGTGGATGGTCTTTGTCAGCAGGCAGGCAGAGACTGTATCCCTGATAATTAGTTGGTTTTTGTATATTTTTCTGAGAGTCTCTAATGAAAGGAAGCCATGTAGGAAGGCTGACTGTTATAGGCTATTTTCTGCCTACAGTATTTTATAATTAAACGTAATTGGTGATTTTTAGAGGAAAGGTTTATAAACATGTTTCCATACAATTTAGCAAAATGCAGCTTTATTGTATGTGGGGATGTCTGCACGCCAGAAACAAGGCCTAGCAGCTGCCACACATTCAACACTTGGGCCTGAGACCAGTAGGAATGTTTTCCGTGTTTTGCACAGAACATAGGTTCGCCCTCATAGTGAACAGGAATCAAAAGTAGCCAACTCGACTCCTCTGGGCTGGACCCCAAATTCATAAAGGTGATTTCGAGGGACCCTATGCCCTAATGTTGCTGCTTTTCACAGCGAGCTCTATGACCCAGCTTTGCCTACTATCAGCTGTTCTCAGATACACGGGGGAAAGCATGCCATAGACACGGGGACATTGTTAGCAGGTCACCAGTGACATCCTCAGAGCACCGCTATGGGTCCATTCTTTCTTATATAGGACACACTTGAGAAAGCAGAGTTGTGGCTCTCCTAACTTTCATGACTCAGGGGACAGCTACTACTGTCCCCTTCCCTACCACATAATCATTTAAGGACCCGTTTCATTTACCGCAGTAGCTCCCACCTCCAGTGGAGCTGTTCCCTTTAGGCACATCAGTGTGAGGAGATGGTACCTCAAGAAGAGTCATGGTTCTATTTAAAGCAGGCATCTTTTTTTAAAACTTACAGAATATTGAGAAAGAAAGTTTAGATTTTATATCTAAGCCTATTAAATAGACATCAGAGAGAAAGTGTTTTCTCCATTCCCACTCCTGGCCTTCATTGTGCTTTCCCTGGTCATTGTATCTCTCCAGAGGTATCCCATGCAAAGAAGGATTTGCTATGAGGAAGCCTCATTTTGCTTTATCTGGTTGACAATATAGTTGCAAGACGAGTGCACATTTACTCAGCAACACCTGTCTCTTTAAGCTGCTGCAAATCACAGATGCATAAACTTCTTTCCCTGGTCCCTGGTTGGTGGACAAAGATGTCTGGGGAATTGGATGTCACACTGTAGGAACAGCATGTGCCACACATCTGTAGATCCATCTCTTCCTCAGAGCTTGACAAAGGCATGATGCTCTGCCTGCCGCATCTGCACTCTCTATAACACATGGATTAACATCAGTTTCTGTAATAGCAGGAATAAAGCAATGCCTAGTGGGTATCAGGTGCTCTATGCATGACTATTTTCTTGTTACCTGTTTTAATATTTGATATTTACATAAATATTGTTATTGTGTATAGTAGATATAATTAAATACATGCATTCTACAGTATATATTCTAGTTCTATATTTGCTATGTAAGACCCAATGATAGAGTATCTATGTATAGTATCTAATATTCACTCATTATATTATCATCTCACCTAGATTTTATAGATGAGGCTGTGAGTTTAAATGGTAGAGCTGGGATTTGAACTCAGGTACCATGGGTCAAGCCCAAATTTAAGATGTCCCATCCCTTGCTCTGCTGAGAATGATAGGAAAGATAATAGGACTTCCCAAGAGCAGCACTAGGCACAGTCCCTTTGTCACTAATACATAGTAACAGTGTATGCAAATGAAGTCAAATTCATGGTAACACTGTATACAGAGCTCCTAAACTACAGTTCAGAGTTAAGTATGCTCTGACCATTTGCTAACGCGTAGCTATACCAACTATCCACTGTTCCCTGAAGCCCTGCTGTAGCCCACTAGCCAGAAGAGCAATGGGGTAGCCATTAGGCACCCGAGAGGCAGCAGCATCAGATGTTTTGGGTCAACTCTCATTTTATTTTGAATAGAAACAAAAGTTCTTTCTGGAAACAGCAAGGAGCAACAAGAAGCACAAGGAACTCTTCCTCCTTCCCCAGTGGGACAGAAGCCCTTTAAACACCTCCCTCCTGATGGAGACAGTTCACCAAGCAATGATGGGCAGTCTAGCATCTTTTCTGAGTCCCAAGAAAGACAGCACCCGTACTTCCTGACACCCAGAGTCCCTTTGTCTGTGTTTCTTTGCCCTATACAAGTCACATGTGCCTCTCCACAGGAAGATGATACTGCTCAGATAGAGAAAAAGTTCCCCAAAGGTAAGGAGTGAGGGTGGCCATCCCCGGGCTCTTTCTTGATGCACATAAAGAAATAAGCTCAGTGCCTTTCTGGGATGGTTCACACAGCTGGCATTCTAGTAGTGTTGGGGGAAACAGGGAGGAGCAGGACTACCAAGTAGACATAGTGCATAGGCTTAGGCTCAGAAGACTGCCAGGAAGACGGCAGACTCTGTGACTGAGCTTTGGAAGGTCTGGGGAGCTGGGGCAGCTGCCCTGAATGTAGCATGCCCCCCAGCTGCCCAGGCCCCCAGTAACTGTCTGGCATGGATAATAACTAAGGGGTACAGTCCCCGACACATAACTACCACTTTACATGACCTCCTTGGGCCCCACAGTGTCCACAGGCAAGCAGGCTATCTCCATTTCCCACAGAGGAAATAACCAAGTGGGACCCAGGAATCCTATCCCTGTAGGTCAAGGTGCTGACCACTCCTAGGTGCTGTAGTGAACAGTTCTGTGTGAAAAGACAGGCGGACATGACAGAGAATGAACTCTGGTCCCTAGTACCATCAGGAGAGAATCTGGACTTCTGATTGTTCCGAAGATTTTTTTTTTCTTAAAGAACATGGAAAAAGACAGAAGGATATATATGATATCATATGGTTTGGGGTGATAAAAGTTAAAGTGATTATGGTTATTGGTCAAAGTAATGTTACTGGGAGTTGGTTCTTATGTTTTGAACCATCAGTCGGTGGCAGAAGCAATTATTATAAACACCTGTCATGACTGGGCGCTGTGGTCAATACTCTCCGCAGTGGAGAAGGCACAGTGTATGTTGAATACTGTGGGACCTGAGAACGCCCACACTCAGAGATGGTCAGGGCAGAGGTGTATCTGTCCAGGATGATTCTAAGCCGGAACTTGAGATGGCAATGTTATTAGAGTCTTAAGGTGAGACTTCAGGAAAAGACACACAGAGGGGTGGAGGGAAAAGTGCACATAGCCAGAGCTCCAGGGAGGCCTGGGCTGCTTTGGAGAATTGTGAGAGGCCCAGGAGGCCAACACCAGAGCCAGGGTCTTCTGATTCTTCAAGGACCCTGTGGTTTAAGTTGGAAGAGGCAGCCTCTACACCCACTGCAAGATTCTGGACTGTAAATTAAGTAGTAGATGGTACAGTGTGGTTAAGGCATGATCCTAAACCCACCTTATGATTAGGCTGCAGAATGTAGGCAGCAGGAATGCATCCTGTCTTAAGAAGGGAAGGAGGGGCCCTGACAGTCAGGACTCAGCCTGGAGATGAGGATTCTTGAGGCAGAACCAAAGGCACTTAGTGGAGATCAAAGGCCATTTGGGGCAAGATGATGCTGGGTTAGGACAAAGAAGGAGTTAGGTGAGGCTGGTGGGGCTGAGAAGGTGCGGTGGAGAGTTCAGGAGTTCGGAGGGGGAGGACAGGCTACGGTGATAGAAGGGACCTATCCTTGCATTTGCCGTCAAGGCTGAGTCAGGAAATAACCTGGGACAGATATTCATTCTATTCTACTCATCCCAGAAATGGCCTCACCTGGGCTGCTAAGGGGTCAGCTCATATTCCGACTCTTTCCACAAGAGGAAACTAAAAGGGCCCCAGGAAAGGGGCCCCACCAGCTTTGAGAGAGAAACCCCTGATTACTTATGTGAAGCCAGTGGTCGACTCTGGAAAATTAAGGGGAGGGCTACATAATTGAACAACATCCCTGGTCATTATATCATTAGCGTGGCAAACACAAGACAGATTAATACGCTGTCTTGAAACAAGTGAACTGTAATAATTACACGCTTAACGTGAAATCCAGACTAAAATAGTCTCCTCTCATCCTGAGTAAAGGCATTCTGAACACTGTAGTCTAAGAAACACCTCCCTGGCCTAACTAGCCAGTCATGGACTTGGGCTGACTGCCCCGGTGACAAAGGCAGCCATGAAGGTCTATGATGAGACGGGATCCCATGAGCTTAACAAGGTTCATTAATAACTCACTGGCATCTCTCTTTTCTAAACTGCCTTGTGTGTCTTCTTCTTGTGTCTGGGAGCTGGGCGGGAGAGCCGCTGGGTGCCCTCTAAATGGGCTGTAAATCTGCCTTCCTAGATTACACCTGCTGCGACTTGGTTGTAAAACTAAAGGAATGCAAGAAGCACGAGGACCTCCTTGCTGCTCCTGAGTCCTCACCAGCAATACCCTCTCCACCAGCCGCAGAGGAACCACGGAGCTCTGACCCGTTGGAAGGGAGTTCTGAGCCTCGGCACCTGCTGTCAAGCTCCATGACCTTGCAGGTAAAAGGCCATTAGCTCCTCCCCATCCTGCTGGACTCTCTCCCAAGGGAGACTTCTCCTGGGGAGTGTGGCATATACCTTGACCTCACTTCTGCCTGTGACTGCAAATCTCCCTGTCTGTGTCACTGGCCTCTCCCTAACCCTTTCCCACCTCTCTTCTGCTGATTGCCTCCTGGAGACAAGGACACAGGTAGCTCTACCAGGTAAGAATGAGGACTATGGGTACTAGCAAGCATGACCATAGCAATGAAAGAGTGCCCAGAGGTCACGTGGATCACTTCACATTGGATTTTCAAAAAATCCCTATCAGATGAGGGTCCCTATACACCCCGTAGTCAGATGAGGGTGCACAGTCTTTAAGAGATTCCCAAATCATGCAACCATGAGTTGAAAGACATGAAAGATTTTTCTTTTAGTTCCTCCTCTTATTATAGAAGTAACATACATATATCGATTAAAGGTATAACATTTAAGAGGGTGGATGACCTCAGAGAAAATTGCCACCACTAGCATTCTGCATAGCCAGATGTACTTTTGGGGGAGGCCCTGGCCGTGGGGTGCACCTCTCTCTGGATGAGAAGAAAGCTCCATTGGCTCACCACTGCAGCCCTGAACCTTGATGAGCCTGCGATAAACATCCAGGGTAGTCCCCAAATCCTGAACCACTAAGATGTCTGCAGAGGCACGGACAATGAAGCAGCAACCACACTTGGGCCAGCAGCCCATTCTCGGGGCCTTTATCTCCAGCCTTGACCCTTCCCCAAAGCTTCTGCACATTTAGTGACTGGTGAGTCAGACACTTGCTAGCCAATAGCTCACATTGCCAAAGAGACTCCTTGATCAAGTGCAGCTGCCAGGGGCCCATGCATGATGTGGATGGAGCTCAGAGTGTGTTCCTCTCTGAGCCTCCAGTGGCAGGAAGGGGACTAGGACCAAGGAGCACTTCTAGCCTGGCAGTATACCCAGCGAACCTGTGCTGAGCCCCTGCTGTAGGCAGACCCAGGACAGTGCCTGTGAGACATACGAAGTTATTGAGATGTGGCATGTGTCTTCTTCTACAGCTTAGCATAGAGACAGCCACGCGGGACTCACTCTTGCACAAGGCAGTCTTTGAGGGTACCACAATGCTCTGGTTGGCCTTGAAGACCCAGTAAAACCTATTGGGAGTGGCTGCCGTTGGCACACTTTCTAATAGAAGGATTTGAGCAGAGACATTCAAGGGCTCGGGAGTTGGTACAGCGAACGGCAGCAGGGGATAAGTGTGAGGTGTATACTACTGAGCACCAGCACAAGTGTCCACTAAGCTACCCTGAGCCCTGTTGCTTATATCTGTCCAATAGGAACAAAGATGACTGACTTCCAGAATCCATGTGGGGATTCACAAAGAGAATGAGTACAAGTGATTTCCCCAGCATCTGCCATGGCAGCTCTGCAATGGTGCTTTGTGCAGGGAGCACAGAGGGAGAGACTGCTGTGGAGACGGAGGGGATTCTGATCTTTCCTGGGATGCTCACAGAATCCCTCTATCTCACAAAGAAGCCTACCTTTTTCTACCCAGGAGAAGCAGTTCCCATAAGCCACAGATAGGACTTCTGAAAAGCCATTTTCCATGCCAGGAAGACCATGCATGTGCTCCTTAAGACTCCTCCTCTCCCAGCAGAAATGAGTATACAACTGTCTAGCACCTGCATTCCAATCCCACCCATCTCTCTTAGAATGTCGAATGGCAGAACCCTCAGATTTGGGATCCTCAGCAGCAAGTGATTTGGCAGCGTGAATTCTCGTGGGCAGATGTTGGTCGTTGGTAGTCAGTGACTTCAATGCTAGTTATTGCTTGGTCCTGCTGCAGTGGGGTCTGTGCTGCTGGCTGGAACTGACCTCCAGCAGCTTGTCATCAATGTTCCCGTACCATCTTTACCACATGGGCATGTGGAGGGGGGATGATGACATGGATTTACACTGTGGCTTTTGCCCGCTCAGGGTTGTGTTCTTGATTGGCTCCCGCTGAGTACATGGAATGGATGGGTTGTTTCCTGGTCTCCCTTCTCTCAAAAAAATAAAATCTGATTCTGTTCTTGGTCCCAATTAGGAAGCTCTGGAAGTCCGTAGACCTCAGTTTATTTCTCGCTCACAAGAACGGCTGCAGAAACTTAAGCACATGGTACAGCAAAGGAAAGCGCAACAAAAGGAAAACCTGGGGCAGAAGCAGAGCCTACTTCCTGTCCGTGCCCACAAGAAGCAGTTCACCGTTCCCCATCCTCTTAGTGGTAAGCTACAGGTGGCTCAGGAGGCCTGAGTAGAGGGGGGGGGCAGGTATTCTCAGGCCTGGAGCCTGCACTGAAGGTTCAAATGATGATCTTAATGATCTCAAATTATACCACTGGCATGAGCAGACCTCAGCATCCTGAAGCCTTCTCTGGGAGCCAGCTCATTGTGAGAGGTTACATATGGGCATGCAACTCAGCAGAAATCACTTGGGATGCAGATTTGCCATTCCAGCTGGGAAAGGAGCCGCATCACTGTAGGAGCCAGGATAGCAAGTTCAAATTCTTGACTCCTAACGGATGTTTGCGAGCGATCTCCTCTGCCCTTTATAGATTGCAAAACAGACCTTGGGGCGAGAAGTTGACTCCAGCTTGTCTGCATCAACATTTGTCATCTTGAGACCTCTTCCTGCTATGAGCTCAGAGGAAGGATGGCCAGCTTGCCCAGCACTGCGAAGGCCAGGGTTGAGTCGACCCTGAGAGGCAGGGCACTCTCCTCAGAGCAGAAGTTAGCAGGGACCTTTACTGGGGCCAGCACTATGTGTGTGTGTGTGTGGGGGGGGGGGGGTTGGGAACATGACTGTGACTGTGAGCAAGACTGACCTCAGTCTTCTTCATGGACCTCATAAACAAGCCCTTGAACTAGCAAGAATAACAAGAGATGAAGGCAAAGACTGGAACATCAGAGCACTTACAAACGGACTGCCAACTCAAATCTTAAAATCTGGAGGCTTGGAGAAGCCTTTGGTTTATGGCTGTGAATGCAGGAATGAGGTCCCTAGGAAAATGTTTTGGACCCCGGGAGGTGAAATCATGAGTGTGGTTCTGAGTAAAAGTCCTCTGGGGGAAATAACCATCTTCAATAAAGTGCAGCTTAGCAAGTTTACCAAGCTCTCAGGAGGAGGGAGATGCAGGAGACAGAGAAGAGGGCCTCTGTAATAGGTTCCTATTAGACTCATCTGTGGGTAGACTGGCTTCTTCCCGCCCTCCAGAGCACTTCAGGAGAACTGTCTAGAGACCCCAGCAAGGGCGCCCTTGAGTACATTGTTGTTAGGTAAGGGATCTGGCAGGTTACCTGCTGCTTCCATCCCGTGACACATTCCAGGATGATGAGAAACGAAGACAGCCAGAGAGATGTGCAAAAGGCTGGCCCACTGCACACTGGGTGTCTAGCTAGTGTTCCAAGCTAGGTGCGAGCACAGACTTGGTCTAGATGTGTTCTCTAGGGGACCATTAAATCTCTAGCTCAACAAAGAGCAGCTGTTTCAGGCACAGCTGTCTCAAGGTGCTGTGAAGACCAAATGGCAGCCACAGTGGGACTAACTCCTTGGAACATTCTTACACACAAAGCATAAAAGATTTTACATGGTCAAAGTGTTAGACTACCAACACCGATGTCAACTGATAATCACAGCAAACACACACACACACACAGGATGGCACTGGAGAATCTCCATTTTCAGCTTTCAGTGTGTGTGCAGGAAGCAGCAGAGACCTGTGGCTGTCGGGAGCTTATTCAGTATGGCGATGTATTCGTTCACTTTACATCACTGTAACAAATAATCTGAGACAAATCAGCTTACAAGGAGAAAAGGGTTGATTCAGGCTCAGTTTTTGAAGTTTTGTTATCATCAGTAAGCACCATTGCCTCTCGGCATACAGCAAGGCAGGAGCGCATCATGGTGAGATGTATACAAAGTGGAGCAAAGATGCTCATCGCCCAGCAGCCAGGAAGCAAAGGAGAGAAGAGACCAAGATCCCACATTGTCTTTCAAGGGCACATCTTTAATGACCTGGAAATGCCTACTTTACCCCATCTCTTAAAGTCTGTGCTACCTTCCTGCAGCTCCAAGCTTGGGGCTGGGCCTTTCACACACAGGAAGATATACTACAGATCCAAACCATAGCAGGGTGGATGTGGCTTTGGGCTCCTCCCCTTCCTGTATGGGAGGGGACATGGCTTTTATATACCTATGTTACTTTCTTGCCATGCTGTAAGAAATTGCTACATATATTCTTAAAACCGTGAACATACATTCTTTCAGAGTTCTGGGAACCAGGGGTCAAAATAAAGGCACCTGCAGGGCCAGTCTTGTCTGGAGGCTCAGAGCAAAAACACACCACATCCTCTCTCCCAACTTTGGTGGCTTCTGGCCATCCCTGGTGCTGCTTGGCTCATGCTTGGTCCCCTGCAGCCTGCCTTTGTCTTTACACGACCTTCTTCCTATGTCTGTGTGCGTTTGAATCCAATTTCCTCTTCTCATACTGAGCTGAAGTCCACCCATCCAGTGTGACCACATATTAACTTGATTATATCTGCAAGGACCAGATTTCCAGTGACAAGGTCAAAAGAAGGTCACAGTCACAGTTTTTGGAATTTGGACTTGAATGTATCTTTTTGTGTATATGTCTGTGGGGAGGGGACAACTCTGATTGCAACAGTCAGTTTTGATGTTTTTTCCCAAACAAATCTAAGTTCATGTGCCTCTAAATGAACATTTAAAAACTGTATATAATAAAAGGGGCCCAGTCTGGATGCATAGTATTAAATAACCAGTCACCTTTTTATTCCCCAAATTCCAAGGCAGTTCTGGCCACTGGAATGCTCTTGGGGGGACTTGACCAGCACGGATTTTACGGCTATTCCAACTGTCCCTGTGGTACGGACGTGTTGAGGAGAGCTTTATTTCTGTGTTTGTTTGTCTTAGGTCAGATCGGACAAGTCCTGAAACCAGAGCCTTGTGTAAGCTCAGGCTAGCGAGAGGGAAGGTTTAAGGCCCCATTAAACAAGTCTACAGTATGCATCTTGTCTTCAGCCTGTCTGCTGGCAAGATGATAAAAGCAAAATGCAGATGTTTCCTTACATGCTAAATTAGTTCATAAATCATGTGTGCGAATGAGCCCTGGCTGCAGCGTTGAGACGTCTGATGGAAGGAAGGCTCAGGTTTGCTTTTCCATGCCGGGGTAGCTGCCTCTGATCAGAAGCAGTCTTGGCTCAGGGACAGACCCGAGAGATTCAGGTGGTGGGAGCTCTGGCACCTGACAAGGCTGGGAGAGGCAAGACCCTGGGTGTGCAGGAGCAATGACAGAAGGGACCAGGGGCCAGCTGTTTCATGTTGCCTGATAAGTTCTAAGCAGTCTCAGAGGCTTGCGGACAGATTGCAGTGTGTGTGTGTGTGTGTGTGTGTGTGTGAGTGTGTGTGTGTGTGTGTGTGTGTGTGCACATGTGCACACATATGGGGGTGTAAGTGCTAATTAGGGCTAAGGGTCTCTGTTTGAAGGGCAGGGGAAGTTTTATGAGCAGTTTGGGGTGACAGAGGGCTCATGAAGTAGCTTTATAAACTCCTGGCTCCGGTCCCCAGCTCCTGGTGGGGAGCTTCCCATTGCATGGAGGTGAATGGACACCAAGCAGGTGGGTTCTGGTACAGGGTGGGTGGGAGGAAAGCACGAGAATGAGAAGTGATGGGAGATGCTCAGTGTAACTATGGAGATGGGATTAAGGGAGATGGGAGGGCCAGGAATCAGCTCAAGCAAAAGTGACCATAGGGAGGCTAAATGGTACAGCCACTAAATTCGGTCTTGGTGCAGGGGTCAGAAGATGGAGTAGCTTGCTGTGTGGATGGGCTGAGGGCCAGAAGCAGTAAAGGTAGAGGCTAAGGAAGGTCCTAGGGCATAAGGAGGTAGGAAAGTTTCTTAGGTGGAAATGTAAGTAACAGGTGGCAATTACTGAGCTATGTAAGAAAAACTGAGATGATAAATACTCTAGCCTGTGGGCTTCTGTCTTCCTCCCAGGTCAGCGCTCTATCAACTCCTTGGGGTCACCTGGAACAATAAGCAAGGCTTCCCCATCAGCTCTTTGCAGGATCACGAGAAAATTGAGTCATGCATAGGATCCTAGGTAGACTGAGCCTTGTACAAAAGCTAGCCATGACCTAAGGGTTGAGTGTTTTTGGAATTAGCTTTTGCTTCTTCCTTTCAAACAGAACCCCAAGCAGCCTGACTGTATTTGGGAAACATCAAGTATAGCCACGCGGGCACCTGCGATTAGCAGGGTTTGTACCTGGAACAGGTGGGTGGTGGTCCTTGCCATTCCCTATTGACACATTCAGGACTTCATCCTGTTCAAAGCTCCCCATGCTTGACCTTGACCATCTTCCACTGGAGTCTCGGACTCTCCCTGGGTTGCACCCCCATCCTGTTCAGATCCCTCCCACCACATCTCTGCCATTTTCTCCCTAGTTAGTTTCATTGTCTATCCTTCTGCACTCCTGGAAGATGACAAAACACTCGCTGGAACCAAGTCTGCCCCTTCTCTCGGTAGCACGGCACTCCGCCTGAGCTCATATCCAGCTTCTTTAAACTCTTACCTCTAAAATCTCCCCCTTGACCCCTAAGCTGGAGTATGGAGGCTTTTGCTTCTCCACTGAACTCTTTTGCAAAGATGAGTTACTACTGCTACCTCAATGCTATAGACTCAGCCTGGCAGGGCCCCATATAGCCAGCCTGCATGGCCTGGCTACTTCAGCCCCTTTCCCAACCTCTTATCATGGCCTTCTTCCATGGCTCTTCCTAATTTGGTTATGTATCTGACCTTTAGGCCTGCAGAAAATCCACCAGAAGCCTCTGCTTCCGTAAGCCCCTTTTTCTTCTATGCCCCCATTGTTGTTCAGTTCTTAAACACTTCTAAATCTCCTCCCTCCGTGCCTTCTCATTTTGGATTATCCTCTGTGGGTGTCCTGGAGGAATGTCCCCAACCAGAAAGAAACATGGGTGGCCCCATGGCACACCAAGACTCCCTGCTGGATCTCATGAATCAGACGGACTTAATCTGAATTTCATTATCCACACTTTCCAAGGTGAGCCAAGCCTTTCAAATCACGGGCCAGCAGAAGGATGGAATTCTCTAGAAGGCACTTGTAAATTTCCTTTCCCAGAAGATTGTTGACAGTGCTTGGCTGCTTTGCATTCTCGGAGCATCCAGGGGGGAGATGTGACTCAGTAGA